AAAAAAAAAAAAAAGAACAAATGCAGCTTTCTGCTTGGCTGTCCTCCTTGGGAAAAGGGATGGGACGTAGGCAACTGTACGATCCTAGGACCCAGCCAGAGTGGCATTTTTTCACCAGACTTGGCAGCAATGGGTTGCCACATGGTTCAACCAGCCAGCTCGTAAAATCCACAAGTGCAAGTCTCAACAACAAAAATACACTGAATTGCACACTGAATGTGCATTTGAATCTGTTCACCCAGTAATGAAATGCCTGCATCAGATTGACGTCAAAGTATAGGCTGGCAAGGGATTCCACCTAGAAAAGTTAAAGGTAGCTAGTCTCCATGAGAAAACTGCATGCATTACTACTGCAGCATTGTCTAAGTCTACAAAGTTCCCGCAAGCCCACACATGGGGCTGAAAAAGCACAACTCCCAGCAACCAAGGGGAGAGGTGCCCAAGAAGAGAAGCAGTTCTGCTGAGGATCTGACAATGAGGAAAAAGCCGGGGTCATCATAGAGAAAGAAAACTTTAAGGCGTTTAGCAGTGCTCCTGACCCAAACCAGTGCGTGGCTCCAAATAGTCAAATAAAAAAAGCCAAGGAAGCCTGCAACAGAAAGTGGAAGGAAGAGGAAAAAATTGGTATGGCACTTAACCAAACATTTCTTTTTTTTTTGAAACAGAGCCTCATTCTGTCACCCAGGCTGGAGTGCAGTGGCACAATCTCAGGTCACTGCAACCTCTGCCTCCCAGGTTCAAGCAATTCTCCTGCCTCAGCCTCCCAAGTAGCTGGGATTGCAGGCACCTGCCACCACGCCCAGCTAATTTTGTGTGTTTTTAGTAAAGACAGGGCTTCACTATGTTGCCCAGGCTGGTCTTGAACTCCTGATCTCAGGTGATCCATCCGCCTCGGCCTCCCAAAGTGCTGAGATTACAGGCATGAGTTTACCAAAAATTTCTAAACAAGCGCATGAAAAGATACTGATTATTGTGATCAGGGAAAAGCAAACTAAAATGACAGTAAGCTTCAACTATACACCTACTAAAATGGCTAAAATAAAAAAGAAAAGCAAATACACTGTTGAGAACTTTAATGAAAAAGAAAAGAGGCTGGGTATGATAGCACCTGCCTGTAGTCCCAGCCACTCTGGAGGCTGAGGCGGGAGGAACACTTGAGCCCAGGAGTTGGAGGCTGTAGTGAGCTATGATGGTGCTTATGAATACCTACTACACTGCTGCCTCAGGAACATAGTGAGACCCCCATCTTGAAAGAAAGAGAGAGGTGGGGGAGAGAGAGGGAGGGAGAGAGAGAGAGAGAGAGGAGAGAGGGAAGAGAGAGAGGGAGGGGGGAGGGAGGGGAGAGAGAGAGAGGGAGGGAGGGGAGGGAGAGAGGGGGGGGGGGGGGGGGGGGAGGGGGGGGGGGGGGGGGAGGGGGGGGGGGGGGGGGGGGAGGGGGGGGGGGGGGGGGGGGAGAGGGGGGGGGGGGGGGGAGGGGGAGGGGGGGGGGGGGGGGGGAGAGGGAGGGAGGGAGGGAAGAGAGAGAGGGAGGGAGG